CTTTATATATATTTTTTTCTGTATAATATATTCTATTACGATAACCCAAACAAAAGTATTGCAAAGCTCAAACTCTTACTGCATATACCCATCATCATCATCATCATCATCATTCTCCTGCATCCAACAGCGAGCCACGGAATTATTCATTCGACTCCATCATTTCGTGGAAAGTGTGGTGGTTTTCCCCTCGCCCCACATCGCTACCTCGGCCAGCTCACCTGACAATTAGGGCGGGAACTTTGGACCCCCGGAGAAACAAGAGCAGCAGACGGCGTTTCTGTGTTCTCCGTGGCTGGTATTATTTGTCAGGCAGCGTGCTGGAATCAGGCTCTCGTCAATTTTTGGGCATGTAGAGTTATTGGTAGCATATTAAAACTTGTTTACTTGTCTTTGTTTGGATGAAAAAAATATCCATTTACCTTGAATACAAATCGAGATACTTGTGAATGAAGGAGGTGGGAGTTACTTTTTTCAGAGGTAAAATTAATGAGAAAATGGTCGCCAAAGATTAGTTATTTCCTTAGCTTAAGAGACCGTGAGAACTGAAAGTTTTCATTTTTTGTGCCTTCAATCAACGTTTTTCAGAAAAATCCAAACAGAAATGAGTTCTTTAATGGGCATGAAAGGTGTTGAGCCAAAAAACAAAACAAAAAAATTAAAATACACAAACCTGCGAGAAAATGCCAGTTTCTTCACTTTAATTATTTTGATGAGAGCCTGATTCCACCACGCTGCCTCACATTTAGCCTAGTTCTTATAGTGTGTGCTGTGACGTCCTGGAATGAAGTGGTCGGCGATTGCTGTGGGTATGGAGGCTTTCTTTTATATCAGCTTAACTTAACCCTATCCGTACGCCCTGGGGTCATTTTGTACCCCCGGGGTTGTATTCTTCACATTTTAGAATACTTCTAGTACGAAGATCTCTTTGAAACTTTCAGTATTTCTCAAAAAAATCAGTTTGACAGACTGCTATGCAAAGCGTACAGATCGGATTAAAAAGTAAATTTCCCACGTCGTATGGATACGAAAGTAAACCACGACATACGGAGGGTGTGAAGACCCTATTCCTCTCCAGTGTCAGTTTTAATGGAGAGGGCCATTAGATTACTTAGACGTGTGTAGATTCTGGACGGTGAAAAACAGGAAGGAATAAGGGGGAAAAAGAAAAGAAAAAAGAATATGGAACAATAAAAAACAGAGTATAGGGAGGGTAAACCCTGGAGGGAAGATCTCGAGGGGATGTAGTATAAGCATAAAACTCTATAAAGTCATGGACCGTTATACAGTAATAGACAGCTTTGAGATATAGCTTCTGAAATACAGAGAAAGGAAAGGAAAATGAATAAGAAATACAGAGAAACTGAAAAGGCAACAGAAAATGAGGTGGGATAGTGGAATAAGAAATAGATGGGTTGGGGTTTGTTTTTGTTTTTTTTGGGGGGGGGGGGA